GTTCTATCCTCTTGAGTACATTCTTTTCTGGCCTCCTTTTGATCTAGCTCCTCTATCCTTTTAGAGATTCTTTCTTTCAACTCCTCCAACCTCCTGAACTCTTCTTTATTCCACTCTTTAATCCTTTCTTTCAACCTTTTCAGATTTTTCATGAAATAGGCCCCTTTTATTCCTCACATTGATAATTGATTCCCCCTTCCTCCCACCACACTTTTATTTGTTCAACAAATTTTGGGATTTCTAGCCACATGTTTTCAAATCTGAATGGGGTAGGGCCTCCTAGCCTAGACTCTTGGTCTAGGCATAAGGGATAGTAGTCAAAGGTTACCCTAGGTGATACCTTAAGAGCTAAGTTACCCCATAATTCTTCCCAATCAATTGAAAAGAGGAATCTGTCCAGCTTGGAACAAATTTGAGATTCTTGGAGATTTGACCAAGTGAAGGAAGCATTTAATAGGGGAAGTTCTTTCAACTCTAGAGAGTCCACTAGGGAGTTGAACTTTCTCACACATTTAGTTATGGTTTGCCTTGGGTTACTTGTCTAACTTGTGAATCTAATAACATTGGAATCTCCCCCCAAGAACCATGGTCGTTCCCACAAGAATCTTACTGGACGCAAAATTCTCGGCAACTTTGGCTAGAGGCAGGGGATAGGAATACTCAGTATTTTCATAGAGCTGCTTCTATTAGGCAGAATAAAAATCGAATTAACTGGCTTAAGCTAGATGATGGCAGCTGGACAAATGATCAGGACAAGATTGTGGATCATGTCACTGGGTATTTTAAGGATATCTATCATTCAAATGCTGTGCAGAATTGATCGTATCTGTCTGAACTTTTTACCTGTCATTTCAGAGCAGGAGAATGCTGATCTTATTAGTATCCTGGAGGAGGAAATCAAGCAGGCTTTGTTTAGTATTGGTAATCTTAAGGCACCTGGGCCTGATGGGATTCCTGTTGTGGTGTACAAACAATTTTGGGATCAGATGAAGGGAGATATCATTGAACATGTTAGGGTATTTTTTGTTAATAAAAAATTTGTTAAACATTTTAATCATACGTTTATTACTCTCATTCCTAAAAAAGATAGTGCTGCATCAATAAAGGATTTTAGGCCAACTAGTCCTTGTAATGTCATTTATAAAGTTATTGCAAAAATTCTGGCAGCCAGACTTAAACCTTCATTAGAAAAATGCGTCTCTCCTTATCAGAATGCTTTTGTTCCTAAGAGGCAATTGATGGATAATGTAATTATAGCCCAGGACATCTTCCATTATATGTGGAAGTGTAAATTGGGGTCTGGACTTGGCTGTTAAGTTGGATATGATGAATCGTTTTGAGTGGGAGTTTCTTATTGTTGTTATGAAAGCTCTAGGCTTTTCTGCGACTTTGTGTGAAATGATTTATTTTTGTATATCTAATGTTTCTTATTCGGTTTTGATTAATGGTTCAGCTGAGGGGCATTAACTCGTTGTAGGCTTATGTAGGGGGATCCTTTATCTCTTATTTGTTTATCTAGGCATGGAAGTTCTTTCTAGATTATTGGAGAAGGAGGAGGCTTTGGGTTGGATTCATGGGATCAAGATTGCTAGGATAGCCCCTTCTATTTCCCATTTATTGTTTGCAAATGATGTTTTATTTTTTTTTTTCAAGGCCTCTAGGGAGGAGACAGCTATTTTTTTGGACACAATTAATCCATTACAGTCTATGTCTTGTCAAGCTATTAACTGTAGTAAGTTGGGTGTTTATTTCAATCGGAATGTTCATCATAAGTGTAGGAAGTCATTATGTAAGCAGCTTAAAATGGGAAATATAGATCATTGTGTTAAGTATTTAGGTGTTCCCTTAATATGGAAGAAGAATCCCTTTCCTTTTTGTTGGATAAGTTTTAGTCTAAACTAAATGATTGGAAAGTGGCTAATCTTTCCCAGGCTGGTATATTGGTTCTTTTTGAAATCCACTCTAAAATCCATTCCTAATCATATCATGTCTATGGTTCAGCTGCCAAGGAAGATAAATGATCAAATTGATCAAATTCAGAGAAGTTTTTGGTGGAAAATTTGTAAAGCTAATAGAGGTTCTGTTTGGTCTAACTGGGACCTCCTTTGTTCTCCTAGGTCTTAGGGAGGTCTTGGTCTCCACAAGGCATCTTAAGTTAATCTGGTTTTTTAATTTAAACTGTCCAGTCTGGCCTGGGTTTGTTAGAATCGTGATCATAGATTATGGGTAAAAATGTTCAGAGCCAAATATTTGGCTGCTCATCATTTCTTTCCTGACGGATTGAAATCTGGCAGTTCTAAGGTTTGGAGGTCATTGTCTAATTGTTTAACTTGCTTGGCTCCTTATCTTAGGTGTAAGGTTTTTGTTCATGATAGTGTCAATCTCTGGAGTGTTCCCTGGCTTAAAATTAATAATGAATTTAGGGCTCCAACAAGTCCAGCTTGTAGACAGACCAAAAATTTAGAGACCTCACAGATTTAATCGACAGTCAGGGGTCTTGTGATAGAGATAAGATCCTTCAAGTTCTAGGACCTTGCTGGCTTAGTTATGTGTTGGATACTCGTATCTTTGTTATTCTTCAGGATCATCACTTTTTTATGGACTGGGGCAAAATTTGGTGTGTTGACTCTTAAATCTGTTTACCTTTTTATTTGCGAAAGCTGAGCCTATAGACTGGATTCTCAACTTAACAGGCTGCTTAGGAAGGTTTGGAAATTACCTTTTTGCCTTGGTATAACTTGTTCCTTTGGCGAGTGTTTAGAAATTTTGTTTCTGTTGGATCTATCCTGAGCTCTAGAGGTTTTTCTAGGTGCTTTTATTGTGTTTTTTGTTAGAATTCTATTGAGACTCTGTTGCATTTGTTCTTTTTGTGTCCAGTAGCCAGAGCTGTCTGGTTTTCTTCTCCTTGGGGTTTCAGGATTGGTTTACAGTTCTATGGGGATTGCTATTGTCTAGTTTTAAATATGATGAATAATTTAAGTCTTGAAAGTGATAGGAAGAAGTTTCTGTCATGGTTGGCTATATTTGGATGTAATGGAATAATTTAATTTTTCATGATGATCAATTTGATCAAGGGAGTTACTTTTCAAAATTAGATCTGCCTTTATGGAATGTTTAAATCTTCAATCAAAGTCAAGTATAGGTATGGATTCCCTAAAGCAGGGGTGGGTAAGTTCTGACTCTCTTCAGGTATATCCCAAATGTGAGTTCCACTGTGATGGGGGAGTCATTTCTCAAAATCAAGGCTTGTTTGGTTTTGTTTACTTAAAACCTAATGGTTGTTTTATTGCTGCTTCAGGTGAGCCCTGCTGGATTCAGGATGGTTCTGTGGATGCTGAGATTTTTGCTGTCTGGAGAGCTATGGTGTTTGCACGAGAATGAGTCTTTTTGTCTACAATTATCAAGTTGGCTTGCTCTGTGGTAGTGGATGCTCTGAATGCCCGCCAAGTGGATCTTCTGTGGGGTTGTCTTGATATGGTGGACAAAATTTTATCTTTAAAAAAATCGTTTAAACATATTAGTCTTTTGTATGTGAATAGAACTCTTTCAATGCCTACCCATGTGATGGCAAGGGAGGCTAAGTCTTTTGATCAGGACCTTTATTGGGAGGTGCGCCTCCATCTTTCTTATTGGACTTTTGTACTTCTGATGGTTTTATGTAATATTAAGTCTTTTTAGTGATAAAAAATTATAATAACTACTTAAAAAAAAACAAATAATTCAACTATGTATATTCATGTAATAAAAATTAATTTAGGTGTAGCTCTCAACAAATTATGATACTTGTGGGTGCCAGAAAACGGCTCACTTGGGCTGAATTTGGAGTCGCCACCCATCATTTGAAGGAAATGGGGTGATGAGACCTCCAAGAATGGCTTTCAGAAATACTTTTGTTTGATAGTGACTCCAAACCCAAGACACTGGCTAAACCAGTCCGAGTAAGACTCGGATGTGAGAGGGAAGGTGTTATGCACCCCTCTCCCGGGTCCAATAGGTGAGGCCCGCATGGGGGGTGTCAAAGCAAACAACCTAGAATTAACCCAATAGGAAACAAACCAACATTGACAAGAAAAATTAAGCAAGAAAAAGAAAAAAAAAAGGAATTACTTGATACCCGAGATAAGGGTTCTATAAGAATGAAAACCAATCACATAAAAAAATATTATTCGATGACGTAAGTGCAAAACATTTAAAGTGACAAAGACAAGATTAATTCAGCTAATCTAAATAGAATAACTAATGTTAATTGTTCAAATTAACCAACATAAGAAACATGCATGCCAAGTCGAATAGAGATAACTCTATGATAAGCTGAAGAATAATAAAAGACAACTAAGATAGGAATGATCATAAAGGAAGATTAACAGCCCTGAATGTGAAAAGTTAAAATACATGGGAAGGGATAACTATTCACTAACCCCAAACAGGGCATTATTGATGGCATGAGAGGGAAGATATTTCTAAACACTAGATGGAAATCATTCAGGAATCTAAAAAAATAAAAACTAGCCGGGAATTTTTTTAAACACTAAAAACATTAAGCCCATTAGCAAACATGGTGAGAACTATTCAACGACATGAAAAAAGAACAAAAGAAATTACTTATTAATTACTAATTCAAGAAGATAATCATTAATATTACCTAATTCCCACTATATTTTTATTGCAAAAGTCAAACCCGTTTTCACAAACAATCAGAGACTATAATCACAATTTGTCATTAAATATGGACTTGTATGCTCATATGTATCCTCACGAAAGGGCATGGGAGATTCAGGGGAATGGTCTTTCAATCTCGCGAGTCATTCAGCATAACAGCATACAGTGAAGGATTTGAGACACAAGACTTATCCATCCATGACCGATATTCAACATAACATGTACTAAGATCATGCTAGAAAGAAAAACAAGGCGAGATTGGTAAGGCAGTGTGTTCGGATACCCCAAAGAGACAGAATATGAGACAAACAGTCAGGACCACCGATGAGGATTGACGTTACCTTGTCTGTAGTATAGCCTGAGAATGGAGAGATCAGCTGCTTCGGATGGAGGATTGGTGCTTCAGAATCTTTCCCTTCTGCTAAGATGGGGGAGATGACCTGTATTTCGGTAGCGACTTCTAGCTTTGCTGGACAGTTGATGGACCGACGAAGAGTTCACCGAAATAGATCCAGTTTGCTGCCATTGCCGAGTTTGTGTTGCCGCTGTCGAGAGGAAAACGATGGTGAACAGTAGATTTTTCGGTATTATCTTGTTGGGGGAGAGAGAACCAATGAGAAAGAGACGAAGAGGGAGAGAATGGGAGAAAAACCGACCGGATAAGTGATCGGGGAGAGCCCGGATCTGCTCGTCTGCTCTCCTCATCTCAACCTCACAACGCGTCTCGGCCGCACATCGGGAACATCTCCCGTAATTTGTGATCATATCTCAATACACGGTGGGATGGGCAACAGTATTCGAAAATTCGATTTCGGATAATTCGAATATCTTAATAGATCGAATTCGAATATTTGATAGTTGATCGATTATTTAATTTTTATATATAATATATAAAATATTTAAATATTTTATATAATTTATATATATAATAATTAAATTATATAAATATTTTATATATTTTATATAAATAAAATATTTATTTTATATTTATTAATTCTCCAAAATAATGAATTAGTCGAATTCAAATTTGAATTCGAATATTAATTTTTAATATCCATTGGATATCGAATCGAATTCAGATATTATCTTACTTCGTTTGAATTCGATCTGTTTATACCCTTAAATGGGGTTGTAAAGTCAATATGAGATGCAATCTATGAGGATCCTGGTTTGATCAAGAAAGGGGAGATTGCATAAAAGGTTTAGGTTTATACCAATGTTTTAAGTTTTGGCATACTTTTTATACTTTCAAAAGTATGGAAGTATGAAAAGTACTGGAACGTATTTGTTTGGGATGTTTTTTATTTTTAAAAAGTACAAAAAATACAAAAAGTACAAAGTTAGCTTTTGATACTTTGTGTTTTTTCCCTTTAACATACTTTATCTATATCTATTTATATCTATAATCTATACTAATTTAAAAAGTACGAATAGCCTCAAGAATATTTATGAAATTTTGTGATGACAAAATTTACCCCTCTATATTTAAATTTATTGAAAAAAATGAGGGCAAATAGGGTAATTAATTATTGATATTAAATGAGTTGAAAATACTTAATTTTAAGATATTCAATGCATTCAAATATCTCTCCTTAAATCCAACATTTAAGGTATTAATTTGCATTCACCTTCATTGAATTATATATTTAAGGCTTCTTTGTTTCTTCTCATCATTAAATTCTATAATTAAATACATACATATTAAATTAATAATTTCAATAACATAAAAATTTATACTTTAAAAATCTATCTGGAAAAAATAGTGTTTTCATCTAGGTGGTGGTATGAAATTAAACCATTTGGGTCAAATGGGCCAATCCATGTTACCACAATTAAATAATAAAATTCAAAAATATATAAAATGCAAAAAAATATAGAAATTAATAAAAATGGGAGTGTTTTTAACATCATATATTTGGCATATTAAACAATATTATGTATGATAAACAATGTTTTAAAAATCGACCCGAAAGCCGACCCGCTTTTGCCTTCGAGTCACAGGTCACCATTTCATCTGTCAAGGTCAAACAAGTCAAAGCTCTCTATGTCAACACTGTGTGTAAAAGCACATATTTTATCAATAAATAGTATAATTATGGTTTACATAAATAACATATAATATATGTATTATGTTGCATTTATTTATGTTTTTCTAATTCCGTTTTAAATTTTTTATTTATAAAAAATATTAAAAATTATAATTTGGGGCCAAAAGGGGTTGTTTTGCGAAAGTATTAAGGAAAGGCGCATAATGCCCTTGGGACGTGTAGATCTTGAAAAGTTACTCAAACTAATAAAAAAAGATAACCCCAATTGGACATCAGAGTGCAAAGTTATGGCTTCCAAAAGTTTTTTTTTTTTTTTGATAAAAAACAGTAACTTTCATTAGATAGATTAAGAGAATCTTATTCCCACCAAAATTTATTTCAAAATTCCCTCATTTGACCCAACATCAAGCCTTGATGCTGTTTTGGCGAATCTTATTGATTAAAAGCTCACGTCATAAATCTCCATCATCAAAACCTTATTTGATCAATCAGACCCCAACACCATGTTTTGAGACTGAAAGAACACTATCGAAGACTTAACTCGAGATTTTCAAACCTAAAAATGAGGGCCCATTTCCTCTAAAAAAATGGGTGGTGACTCCAACTCTTTGAGCCTACCATGAGCTTCCTGGTGCTCACGTCCGACGACTCCTCTCGGGACTTTTAAGGACCTTTGCAGGGAGACGTTTTGGCTCAAATTTGTGCTCAGTTGTCATGCGCTTTAAAGCTTAGATTGTTTTTTCTTTGGTTGGCGATCGAAAATCACACCTCAAGAATGTTAGGCACGATAGACCTTCCCAACGCAGTTCAAAACCTTGTTTTAACACTCTCTGGCGCGGGTAATCTCCTCCTTGTATGCTCAAAACCATTTTTGGGCCAAATCACGCCTAAAACTTCACCCAGAACCATACCTTTACTGCAATCTAGTTCAGTCTCATCGCAACGTAGAACCTCATTGCAACCCAGAAGTTCATTGCACTTTTAGTTCAACCAACCTTATCGCAATCCAGAACCTCATTGCAATCCAAAAATTCATCGCAACCCAGAACCTCATCGCAACCCAAAACCTCATTGTAACCTCGAACCTCATTGTAACCCAACTTCATCGCAACATAGAACTTCATCGCAACCTAGAACCTCATCACAACCCAAGTTCATCACAACCCAGAACTTCATCGCAACACAAAACATCATCATAACCCAACTTCATCGCAACCCAAAGCTTCATCACAAACCAGACCTCATTGCAACCCAACTTCATCGCAACCCAGAACTTTATTGCAACCCAGAACCTCATCACAACTCAGAATCTCATCGCAACCCAGAAGCTCATCGCACCTTCAATTCAACCCAACTTCATCACAATCCAGAACCTCATCGCAACCCAATTTCACCGCAACCCAAAACTTCATCGCAACCCAGAACCTCATTGTTACCCAACTTCATCACTACCCAGAAGCTCATCGCAAATCAGTTCAACCCCATTGCAAATTAACCTGCTCATTGCACCTCCTTCCCACTCATCGCACCTAAATCGCACCCATCTACCCTTCCTATGCCTGTTTATCGCATCTCACCCTTTGTCGTAGTGCGCTAAGTGTCTACCACGACTAGCCTTTTGTATAGCAAAAAAATCGTATAGTTCCCGTCTGCTAGGCCCCAAATTCCTTTTTTTTTGGTGTTTTTTCTTTTTCTTTTTGTTTTTTTTGGGCTTCTTTTTTCCTTCATATTCTTTTCCTTTGGTGATCTCTCAAAATTTGCAATTTTTTCTTTCTCTATAACTGAATGTGTTTAGCTTAGTTGTGGGTAGCAAGTAAATTGCATTTGTTTATTGTTTTACTCTTTTCTCCTCTTTGTTTTAGTTAAAAAGCATCAAGAGAACTTAACTTCTATTAGATGTCCAAATGTGGACACCTAGAAACTTATAGGGTTGCTTGAAAACTTAAACATATGGCTGCATTCTCCCCTTGTTTTTTTTTTTGTTTTGTTGCTTTCCTATTCAATTTTCTTGCATGCTTGAACACTCACAACTAGACATTCTCATGTAAATAAACTTAGAATCCCATTTCACCTTTTAGAGGAAGGGTAGTAGGTGTGTGCCCCTGGATTTTGGTCCTTAAAGGCTCCACCAAAATCTTCAAACTAGCCACCAACCAAAGAAGCCCATTTGTCCATGGGTGGAGGTTTGAAGGCTAGCAACCTTGTTGGAACCTTAGAGTCTAGAACTCCCCAACAACTTCATGCATTGCACCTAGAGTGCCCATCCATAGGAGCCTTAGATGGAAGTAGGATAGAAGGATCTTAGCTTAATTAGGACTAGGACACTAAGAGTGTTGCACTATGTGGTTGCCATCCTTGAAAGTAAGATCAAAATAAACCCTAAATCCCATCAAAGAAAAAGCTTAATTTAGAAAACATCAAAGTACCCTTTAATCTATCAATGTTACACCCAAGTTCAAAATTAAAAAAAAAATCAATCAAATCTGAAATCAAGATCAAAAACCATTAAGTTCTCCAAATCTAAAATACTTAAAAAAAGCCTATATTGCCACTCAAAGTTGTTGTTCTCAAGGCTAAGTAGATGCATGCCCTTATGAGATTAGCTCTTGGGAAGAAGCATCAAAAGGCAAATTTTGACCTCTTATGTGCTTCATCATGTGCCTATCTCAAGGCTAATTAGATGCATGACTCTATGAGTTCAACTCTCGAGAAGTAGCATCAAAAGTCCCTTTTGACTTCTACTGTTGTTCATCCTGTGCCTATTTCAAGGTTAAGTAAATGCATAACTCTAAGAGTTCAACTCTTGAGAAGTAGCATTAGAAGACCATTTCGACCTTCCTTATTTCCTAAAATATTTCGTGGGTATGCATATGGCAAGAGTCTAACCCTCTCTTGACCAATATCAAAAGATACTTCATCTCTCAATTGGTGCACTTTGGCTTTGCCCTGTGGCTTTTGAATTCAATAATGCATCCTAGAATATTCAAGGCTAAGTAGATGCATGACTCTATGAGTTCAACTCTTGAGGAGTAGCATCAAAAGGCCCTTTTGACTTCTACTATTGTTCATCCTATGCCCATTTCAAGGATAAGTAAATGCATAACTCTAAAAGTTCAACTCTTGAGAAGTAGCATGAGAAGACCATTTCAACCTTCCTTATTTCCTAGAATATTTAGTGGGTATGCATATGGCAAGAGTCTAGCCCTCTCTTGACCAATATCAAAAGATACTTCATCTCTTAGTTGGTGCACTTTGGCTTTGCCTTGTGGATTTTGAATTCAAGAATGCCTAGTAGGTATGTGTATGGTAAAGGGCCTAACATCCCTTTGACCAATACCAAAAGATATTCTACATAACCTTTGTCTAGAGGCATCTAGTAAGTACAAATATGACTAAAGGACTAATCATCCTTTAATCAATATTTAATGATACTTCATTGGTGTTCATGTTCTTTTAGTTAAAAACTAAGGGTGTTACAATAATGGCCTACTAACCCTCTTCTTGTTTTTGAAAGAAAATGGATCAAGCCTTTTTTTCGAATATCTAGGATGTTGTGCACCCCTTAAAGACCAGATTCTCGCAAAAGCAGATGACATTAGAGCCATTGGAGGGGCACCCAGTTGGGAAAATGTTATGAACTTATCATTGGTGCAATTTGAATGGTCAATGCTTAAGGTGGCTTTTGAATGTTGGGATCCAGAAAGAATGGTTTTCTCTTTCGGGGAAATTGAGATGTGTCCGACATTAGAAGAGGTAGTTTATCTCTTGAGAATGCCCATCGAAGATGAGATTGCCTTCCCAGTTATCCAGCAGAGATACAAAGCCGACTAGTGCCAATTCTTAGCATGCAAAAAGCCCTAACTACATATGGCAGATGAAGAATCCATTATAGTCCAATTTCTTCTAAACCGCAACACCTAAGCCTTCAAATCAGATAAGCCAAAGAAAAATAGGGAGGGACAAAAAATTGCCTTGTTCATGGCCATCGTAGGACATCTCCTCTTTCCACTTGACTGCAAAAGCATTCATGCAAGACTAGTCACAGTGCTGCGTCAAGTCAAAGAAGCATCATTAGTTACCTTGGTTCCCATGATCTTAGTAGAAGTTCTAAGGGGTCTAGCCATGTTGCAGACACATAGCGCATGGCCGTTCTATAGATCCCTCCAGATCTTGCAGCTGTGGTTGATACAACATTTGCCATATTTGGTTATCCACACCGAAAATTTTTTATCTCAACCCACATACAAGGTAAAAGAAATATTGAGTACTAATCCACAAGCAGCAGCCTTGATAGAGAAACAAAACTTGGTGTTATTGCAAAGGGCCACGGAAGGAAAGGTTAATTGGAACATTGTGTTGTCTATCCAAGAAGGGTGCAATCAACCTCACTTAGCTGCAGATGGAAGACAAAGCATGGTTCTAGCAGGCTAACATGGAGTACGAGTCCTAAGGCAACTAGGCTTCTTATAGTTCATTCCAACCGTTGATGACATCAAGGGGGACATGGTTGATTTTATCAAGTATTGTGGGAACATGGAAAGAAGGTTCAAAAAGCACTAGACTTCCAATAAAAGGGAATTCTCTACTCTGTCACCAACCTCCAAGCTGATGTGTGATCATACATACAGGGATTGGGTGGACACTCAAGGTTTCCCGTCACCTCTAGGGGCACCACCCGAGCTCCCCACCCCAGTAAGGCCTCCATCCAAAGGTACCATATCAAAGGAATCTCTCAAGCGTCCTTTGGATGATCCATGCTTGAAAGTAGCACTAGAACTTCATGAGAAAAATATGATAAATGAGGAGCAGGAAGTAAGGATCGGGAGGCACAATGATTCTATAAGGAAGCAGATAAGAGAGCACATCAAGCAAAAGCAAAAAATGGAAATAGAAGAGTCGGATTTAAGGAAGGAAATTAGGGAATTAAAAGAGAGATTGAAAAGTCAAAGGAAAAAGTTGAGTGAAGCCCAAGCAAGTCATTTTTAAACAATGGAGAAATTATCAAAGGCACTTCAAGAGAAGCAAAGGTTGGAAGTCAAAACCAAGGAAACTCGCTGCCAGCTCCATCAAGCTAGGAATGAGGCTACTAGTTCCAACATCAGATATGAATAATTAGTCAACCGCATGGAAGCATACACAATGCAAGTGGCAAATCGAATGGTGAAACTCAAAGGCACTTTGACTTACTATGGCATTGACATTCCTCCTAGCTGATCAAGATTGTTGTATTTCCTTTTATTTTTTTTAAAAAGTGGATGTAATGAACATTAATGAATGAGCTATCTCTTGTTTTGGGCCATTATTGTCTCACTCAAATACTATGCAAATTAACTCATCAAATAACAAAGATCAAAATCAAAGCATCAAATCAACTCATAAAATAGCAAAAAATTAAAATCAAAGCATCAAATCAACTCATAAAATAGCAAAAAATTAAAATCAAAGCATCAAATCAAAGATAAGTTGTCAAATCAACTCATCCAATCAAAGCATCAATAATCAAAATCAAGTTTATCAAATTCTTTAAGCCAATTCATCGAAAATCAAAAATCAAAATCAAAGCATAAAAACCAAAATTAAGTTTATAAAATTCATCAAATCAACTAATCACATAAAATCAAAATTAACAAATTCATCAAAATCAAAATCAAAATCAAAAATAAAAATAAAAATAAAAAGACAAAAAAAACAAAAAAAAATCAAATCATCTCATCAATTGTTGAAAATTGACTTCTTTGTCTTCTCTAATGCAATCAGTGAATAACTGTTGACCTACTCCAGGCCAACACGAGGACCAATAGAATTGTAACCCTATCCTTCGCCCACACCATGGCAACCGAAGGCATGACCTTGAAAGGCTCAAGGCAGCAGGACACAACTAATGTGGAGACCACTACACCCGCTACTGTTTCATACAATGAATTTCTCCATCTTCAAGAAAAGCTTTCAGAAATGTCTGCTCGGGTGGATTCACTCTCATAAAGAAATTACACCAATCCCCAAACCACTGCCCAAGCTCAAAGCTTTGCCATCCCCACCATTACTGGGATTCCTACCCCGTTCGTATTCACTGCAGGTACTACATTACCGACTCCAAGGCCACAACCAACCATCTTCACCAAGCAACCTGCAGCTCCAATAGTCAACCAAGTCGAGGATTGGTTATCCTTATCCTTGAGATCCCTCATTACTCACGTGTGCTACTACCTTTTTGCGCGTCATAACTAATCCTATTCGGCAACAGTGACATCACCGTTCGGTGGTTGGAACTTCATTAATTCCACGTGGTGGTTCGCAGAGTCCCTTGCTGTCATGGATTCGCGTGTGTCCAGGCACATGCAAGCCGAGCCCACGGCGAGTTCATCGCGCAAGTTGTGAGTTAGGAGTTCATCGCACGCTCAGGTGTGTTTGGTTCTCTTGGACGGGTCTTTTTAAAGTTTATTTAGGTTCAGGCATTGACTGGACTTGGTGAACTGCGGGTTTATCGCAGTTTTGCTTAATGTGTTGTGGTTCATCGCAAAGGTGCCGATGTACCACAATTTCATCGCAGCGTAGGGGTTGATTGCAAGCTGCTTGTAAGTGCTTCTGTGGTGTTACTCTTGGTGTCTAAGTGTTCTTTGAGTGTCTGGGTGAGCTGTACATACCTACATTAGCCCCCCTACTTATCGGTAAGTGGAAGCTTATCGATAAGCATATTGCCTTTTCGTCTTCGGGTTTTGCGGTAGTTTCGCCTGTGTGCGGTGGGTTTGGTGTTTCTGCTTGCTTTGTAGTTTTGCGTCAATCGCATGCACTCTGTGTTCGTGTTTGGAGGCTCATTATAATATGAGGCTTAGTCCCCTGTCTTTTGGTGATTTGTTTTCTGGAAACAGTCGGTGTTGCTCGATAATTGTGTGCTCTAGCCCCCCTGACTGTTGACAAGAAGAAAAGCAACAAAAGACAATGTGAACTATAATAATGAGTGCAGCCTTTTGACAATGGGTGTAAGAGGTGGTTGATGACTAAGCTACGGCCGTAGTCATCATTTCACTTATTCCAGTATAAGAGGTGTCGCGCGTGTTGATTGTGTTTCCAGTGTTTAATTGACAATGCTAGGTGCATCATTACATCTAGATAAATGTTCTACAGTGTCCCGTTTTCTCAGGGGTAGATTTGTGAGCTGTTTTATATTGCCTTTCATGACGATTCGTCTAGGTGTGTCTGTTCGGCTCCCCCGTCACCGGGCCGTGGGTTTTTTATAAAAAGGGTACGGTGTCTCCTATTGCTTATCATCGTTTGTGTTTGATCTATCTTTCTTGTTTTGGTTGTCCTATACTCCCTTGTGATTTGTGTTTAGTGATGGCTCTTGATCACAACAGTGCGTAGATGGCTATCAGCGAGTTTGTGGGTTCTAATTCATCGTTTCTGGTGGGGTCGACACCTAGTAGGGTAGGTGACAATTCGGAGCTGGCATTGGTCCGTCAGCTGCTTGTGCAGTATTATGAGGAAGATTTCATAGCCCCTTTGGGGTACGAAGCCGTGGAAGGCGTTCCTATCCAAGGTGTTCGTTTGGGTGACAGGGACAGTGGTGAAATTCGCATAAGCGATCATTTGAAGTGGTTGGTTACCACCCTTCAAACTTCCTTTCGTCGTTGTCAGTCTGACGTTAAACACCCTTGCAACGATAATGTCCGAAATATGAATCTCCCTTTTGACCAGATATCTTGGTTTGTCCCCATGTAGTGGTTGAGGACTTGTGGGAGTTTTTCTTCCATCGGCTTTTACGTCGAGTATTTTGAAGAATGCGTCATTCAACTGGTGCATGTATTCTGGAAAGCCGGTCTTGGAGAGTCGTCGTTGGTTTATGGGTGGTCGTTAAGGGACGTGCGTCATCGCGTTGAGGCAGCTGAAGCAAGGCTGGTTGAAGCTTCTAAGAAGCTCGCAAACCTTGAGGCATTTGAAGCTCAAAGGCCTCTGCTCAAGAGCATAGAAGTAATGAGGGATGAGTGGGCCGCTCTATGAAGTCTGTATTATTTCATATGTTTGTAATTATGTGAATTAATTTTGAATGAATTCAATGTGTTTCTCCGCATTCTAGTGTACTTAATTTACTGTCTTTCACATTATATTGTATTTCTGAGAACGAATTGTGAGTAGCTTTAGTTTGGTTTAATCGTTTGCAACCGGATTACACCCATGGTGTGGTGATGTTTATCCTAATTTAAGCAATGCTCATTTTGGTTCCCCAGTTCAGCTACATTGTTGCCCTCCCCTTGGGTGTTGGTAATGTTGCTCCCCCCCTTCTATGTGCTTGGGCCTCGCTGGTTGATCTGGATATAGCGATTATGTTGTCAGTCCTTCTCGGACTGTTAGCCTTTCAAGGAAGGAATGGCTTGTAGGGGGGACCTTCTCTGTGTGACAGCTGAATCGATTTCGTGTCTACCTCTTGTCGAAGACATTCGATTTAGTTTCCTATCGGCATTCTGTAATTGATTAGGGCTGAGGGGTATATTTGGGGCAGCCACATGGTGCTCATTGGTAGTGGCCTTTCAATTGTCGCTTTGAAATCATTGCAGTTCAGTCACACGTGTGGGGTGAATTCGATATCTGATACGATTCAGTGGCGGTTACTGATGTGGCATTTCGTTTGAATTAATGCGGGTCTCTGGTCTCGCCTCTCTAGGGGTGTTTGAGTAATTTCATGTAGTTACTTTTCCACTAAGGATCATTTTGGGTATTGGACAGGCATCCGTTCATCTTCGTCGGCGCCATTTAGTCTGCTACACGTGCGAGTATCGGACATTCTCTATAAAACTAGAGAAAGGGACCTCGATAGTTTTCCTTTCACATTCAGTTTGTGTTTTCATCTCCAAATGCCTTTTCGTTATTTTAGTTTTCATGCTTGCTACCTGCAATTTGTTTTCCTCTCTTGTTCTGCTCTCCGTCTATGGCTCCACGTCGTCGCCAAGTTGTTAGGGTGTTCGAGGAGCAGGTGGGGAAGAAGGTTGAATGACCCTTTATTGACTTTGTTAGGGAGGTTGATATGGCAGAGTTGCTGTCGGAGAAGGAGGTCGTTCTAGCCGTCATGGGGGAGCAGGGTTTTTGGCCTCCAGTTCCAGTAACTAGAGGCGTAAAGGGCATATTTGATCCCATTTGGGGAGATGAACTGTTGTGCTTGTGTGGTCAGTCCAACCAATCTATGTCTTACAAGTGTTAGGAACCTAG